TTCTTGGGTCCATAGTAAGATTTGGTTTTATGGCTGTTTTGGGGTTTGTGCTGGCAATATGCGGCTCCTTGTGTGGATGTAACTTTCAGGAATGATTCAATACAAGAGCTAAGAAAGATTTTAAGAGAAACTGAATGTTGGTATGGATATTACAATAGACAGTTATCCGAAACTATTTTTTATACTATAACAGAAAGCCTCATACTTCAGGCTCTGAGCCAGTCTATGAAAAATTAGGGTTATGGCTCCCTTTTATAATTGGCAGGGAGAAGAGTGTAGGTTATCGCACTCTTCTTTCCTGTTAGGCTGCAAGTAATTGTTTGATGTGTGGGGAGCTTGGACTCTCAACTGTATTTGAAGGATTGTGTCCATGTGGATTTTTTAAAAATGTGATTTAGTATAGTCAGTGTGCTCTGTTAAATTTGACATAAGTGCAGTTGTGTCTTGATGTGGATGAAATCTCTATGCTAGTGGGTGACCACAACTTTGGAACTGTGTCTTGATGTACTAGCAAAAGCAGGTCCATCCAGGCAATTCCACTTTATTGCTTCAGTGAAAAGTTGTTGGTCCAACTAAAGGATACTGAAGATTGCTTTTTCTTTCTCTCATGTTTTTTCAGGTTATACAGATTCTGGATAAAAGCATAACTGTAACTTCTAATGTGTCCTATGGGACAGTGTACTACTTGTTCCTATTAATTTGGTGGTTTAGAATGTGATGTCTGAAGTAGCTCCATGTGTCTGAAGTAAACCCTCCTGCTTAATTTAAGTCTTTACTGATTCTGCTTTTATTCTTTTCTCATTGTTCCAAGGTATTAAAGTCACTGTTAATTTCACGTATTTCTAATAGGTACCAGCTTCTGTAGTCCAGTTTCATGATTAAACTTCTAAATTAAAAACTACTGCTATATGTAAGCATGAGTGAGTGCTGTTTAAGTAAAATATGTTTACTTCAGCTTTTTGTGAAAAATCAGTAAATGCTGTTTGACAGTTCCCGTGTATGGTTTTGGGGGATAAGGAGGTATTTGTCAGTAAAATCCATAGTGAAGTAAGCTTTGCAGATAAATCAAAAAGAGGTTGGGGGTGAGGTTGCTTTTGTTTTGTGGTTTTGTTGTTTGTCTTTTTTTTAATCTGGATGAACCCAGCTAAATTTTCACATGGAAATAGTCCATCGTTGCAAATAGCTGTGGTGGATGCAGTGCTGGACCTAGCAGTTAATCGCAGCCTACTGAGTGGAGCTTGCCACTCCTACAGCTCTGCCAGTGATAAAATCGAATGACTGTTTTAATCCCATTCACTTGAGAGAGAGAGGTTTTAGCTGGGAGGTGCCTGCTACAGGCAGTAAAACAACCTGTCTGCACTTGTCTGAAGCTGGTTAGTGGTCCCATCACTGAGCGGAATTGGGGACAGACATATTTGTCAAGCCCATGGTCGTGAAAGGCTAGAGGCATTTCTCTCTTCAATTGCCACTACGTGTTCCAGAAGGTACACCTGAGGTCTGGTAGTCAGCTAAAGAATGGTGGTGGTTTCTGTAATCTCCTGTTGCTTATGAGCTGCAAACTAGAAGAGAAGGATGTTGTTTCATTGTCCAAATTCTGCAAATGAAATACTAATTCTTACTCAGATTCTGTCAAGGAATATTTCAGAGATTTTAGCAAATATTTGATGAATTTTGTTGTCTGCATTAAAGACAAAACTGCAATGGTTGTGTATGCACCATTAACACACAATTTAGACTGTGCCTCCTGGAATATGTGAAATAGTGAGAAGAACAAGATTTTTTTACCTTATGCTAGAAGCAAACTTAATTTCCAGAAGAATGAGACCATCATTACCCAGCCTTCTACATAGAAGTGCTTGCTGTTGTTTTACTGGAAAGCAGGTGCACTGTTGTAATGTTTTCCGTTCTTCAAGCTAGTTAGATAGGTATTATGTAAAGGTTATGGCATGACCAAAGCAAACATGGAGTGCAGTAGTGTGTCCAGGTGGACACTCAGGACAACATTAGCATTCCAGTTCATTTTGCTGATAGCTTCTAAGACTGTAATAATAAAGGTAAGGGCTTTTTTGTTTTGGTTTGATTTTGTCCTGGTTTCGGCTGGGATAGAGTTAATTTTCTTCCTAGTAGCTGGTGCAGTGCTGCGTGTTGGCTTTAGTCTGAGAACAATGCTGATAACACACGTTTCAGTTACTGCTGAGCACTGCTTACTCTGATCAAGGGCTTTTCAGTTTCTCATCCTGCCAGTGAGGAGGGGCACAGGAAGCCCAGACGAAACAGAGACAGGGCACCTGACCGAAACTGGCCAAAGGGGTATTCCATACCACAGCACATCATGCCCAGTATATAAACTGAGGGGAGTCACCCGGAAGGGACCAAGCACTGCTCGGGTTGGGCTGGGTATCAGTTGGTGGGTGGTGAGCAGCTGTGGCTTTAAGCCACTGGCAAAGTCTAACATAATGTTTGGATGCTGAAGTACATGGGGTTTGGGGGTGGAAGTTGCTTGTGGGTTTGTTTTGTTTAAGGCTCTGGATACCAATCAGAAGCTATTCAGTCATATAATGCAAACCAAGACATTTAGTGGAAGTTTATCCTGCTAGTTTAAATTTTTGTTTGTTTGTTTTAAAGATTACCCTTTTCCTGGTATATGTAGATATATAAATGTACAGATATAATGTTAATAACAAGTCAGGATGGGACCAGAGAAATGGGCAAATGAATTTCACTGAAATTTTTCAGAAGGGTCTATGCTGAAGTATTGAGCAGTGGTCTGCTCATTTATGTACTGTGCTAGTACTTTCAGTTAGTTGTATGTGAACTCTTACTTCTGCAAATAAGCTTCCCGAGTAGTTTAACTCCGCAAAAATACTGTATTTTTACATTGAATTTGTTTGAATTTTTGCTGCCATGGTTGCACTTTAACGCTAGTACTTGTCAGATCTCTCTGTGAGCTGGGCTGGTTTGTTAAGCTGTCAGACTAACCAAAATGTATAATTTTCTGCTCAGTTAGCAAGCTGAAGTAGCTCATTATGAGCTCAGATGAGTGGCAATACCAAAGCAAGAAGGAAGGTGAGGCCATACATGACTTATTTAATTTCCTTGCATTGTCCTGATACTATACTCTTAATGCTTTTCTCTTGGAATATGGAGAACTTGGAGACATTTGCTTCTGCAATTTTTAGGAGCATCTCCCTAGTCTGTGTTCATAGAATGATAGAATGGTTTGGGTTGGAAAGGACCTTAAGATCATCTAGTCCCACCCCCCCTGCCATGGGCAGGGACACCTCGCACTAAACCATGTCACCCAAGGCTCTGTCCAACCTGGCCTTGAGCACCACCAGGGATGGAGCATTCACAACTTCCTTGGGCAACCCATTCTAGTGCCTCACCACCCTCACTGTGAAGAACTTCTTCCTTATATCTAATCTAAACTTCCCCTGTTTAAGTTTGAACCCATTATCCCTTGTCCTACCACTACAGTCCCTAATGCAGAGTCCCGCCCCAGCATCCTTATAGGCCCCCTTCAGATGCCGGAAGGCTGCTATGAGGTTTCCATGCAGCCTTCTCTTCTCCAGGCTGAACAGCCCCAACTTTCTCAGCCTGTCTTCATACAGGAGGTGCTCCAGCCCCCTTATCATCCTCATGGCCCTCCTCTGGTGTTATTTTAAAAAAAAAAAACCAAACAAAAACCCAACATTGTTTTGAGCACAGTTTAAGAGAAACTGTAGTTATGCAAGATAAGCTATTTGAATAGTTGCTGAAGGGTATGTTGATGTTTATCTATGCTGGTCCTTATGCATACTGAATAATCATATTGTATAATATTGGACTTAATTTTTTTTTGCATAGAGACAGCTTGGAATGCAGACTAGGGTAATGTAATACCCAAGTGACTATGAATGAAGTCCCAGTGACTAAATAATTGTTAAGAAAAACATTTTTCTTTGACACCTGAAACCCATATCATTTTCAAACTTGTGTAGTATGTATTCCTTGCTAACAACTTTGTATGTACCCAGCCTTAGAGTTTTAGGTTTTTAGACTACCTGTATGAGAAAGAATCTCTAGTAAAACTCATGGAAAACACTATAGCTCTAAGCAGCTATAAGAGGGTGGAAGTTTTATTTTATTGTAATATTGTTACTACGTCATTGTGCATATTTTATTTGAAAATAAATGCATAGCATGATGGCATGTACAAGTGTTGATTAACTTTGTTCTCCTCATCAGTGTTGAAATACCATTTTAGCTTCTGTGATGCAAAGCTGTTTAATATCTGTCAATGTCTGTCTGTTTTCATGTGTAATAATCAAAATCCAGTAATAAAAGTTCAGTAAGCAAATATTACTTGGCTCTCATTAGAGGCAGTACATCTTCACATTCTGTTGTGAATATGTCATTATCTCTTTTTACAACTTAATCAGTGTTTGTGTGCTTTTTTTTTTTCTCTGTTAAGTGGGAATAATAATCACTAGATTAAGAAGACTAGATTTTTAATTTGTTTTCATATATTAAAGGGTTTTTCTAAATCAAGTGAAAATTAAATGAAAACTTTCAATGTTTCTCATACAGTTTGCATTTATTAAGATAATTTGTGTGAAATTTTGCATTCTTCATTTTTGGAGAGAATTTGCTGTATCAGTTTTATGTGGATTTTAGTTTAGTAGAACTTGTCAGACAGTGTATTGATTTTGAAATATGCTGGCTTTAAACATCACTGAGCTTGGGAAAGAGAACCTAAATTAAGCCATCTCAAACTAAGAAGATCTTTCTTGTTTTCTCTTTTATAGTTTGTATTGCTATCACTTGGTAGTAACTAGCTTCTGGTGAAGCGGTTAGTTGCTTCAAAACAATTTGAGTGCTAAATAAATTCTTGCAGGGAGTACTTGTTTGGCTTTGAAAGTATATTTAGCATTTGCTAGTGAATAGCATATAAAAGCATTGAAATTGTTTACCTTTTCCTTAGTGTGTGCAGTATTAATTACATTCTTCCCTTTTCTGTAGTTAAAGTACCTCGTAATTTTCGCTTGTTGGAAGAACTTGAAGAAGGGCAGAAAGGAGTAGGTGATGGTACAGTAAGCTGGGGCCTTGAAGATGATGAAGATATGACACTTACCAGATGGACAGGAATGATTATTGGGCCACCGAGGGTAAGTGTCATGAATCAAAATGTTTTTAAGTTTGTAGGCAATACAAACGGTAAAAAAAAAAAAAAAAAAAGTCACTTTTATACAGTGTAAAGAAATCGGTTAAAATTCAATGTATGAAGTTGTAGAAACACCGTATATTCATGTTAGAATTCATCACTTCCTGGCTCATTAGTGTTTTCAGTCTAGCCTCCCATAGTACATGTTTCTGCAGCTGTCTGTGTGAGCCAGTTGTGATTTGAGACTTCTTACTGAGTTAAGAATACATTCAGTTGTGTTTCTACCATTATTTAGCGTAAGTGTACAATGATAGTACAGTAAACAGGGTAACTGTCTTTCCACAGTTTATCATATGTGCCTAGTGATTTCAGTTCTGTAGTGAACTGGCAATATATTTTCAACTTTCACAAGTTTTATCAAATAGTCTATCAGTCTAGCAGTTTTTGCGTTTAAGTTGAATCATGCCTAAAGACCAAGCAGTTTTTAATTGCCTCTAATGAGATAAAATATATACACAAAGTTCATATTCTTCTGACCTTTTAAGTTCTGTAGGATGTTACCTAGACTGATAAAACCTGCAAGAGAAGTGATCATCTCTTGTGTCTATCAGCCTCATCAGAAATGAATGTACACTTGACTTTTGTGCACACCTTCTCATGGGTTACAATATGTGTTACAAAAGATCACTGTTTAAATGAGAACTTTAAATGAGTATGCTTCAAGTAGCTCTAAGTTAGCCTATGTCTTTCACTGCTAATGTGAGGTTACTATCCTGTGTGTCCTTCAGTGCTGCAGGGCTTATTGGAAGAACTATCCAAGACAAGAACTGAGATCAGATCTTAGCCTCAGATGTCTTTCAGAATAAGAGAGTTCTAGGTTCAGTGTAATTCAAGCTCCTTTTGGAAGTCAGAGTTAGTTGCAGCTGGCAGCAGACTGTTTTGAACATCTCCAAAATTGTGCTGAGCTCCTAAAATTTGGTTGCATTTGAGAGAGAACCAATTTCAAATGTAAGCATAATGCTTTGGGTACTAGCTTCTGCGGAATCAGTGTTTAAATATTTTTTTGAAGAAAGTTTGTGGTCTGATGGGTTTTGAAAAGGATTTTCAAATTTCACCTAAGTAGCATCTTCCTGACTCTCCAAAGAGCCTTCAGAACTGCCTGTGACTGGTTCCTGGTTCAGCCTAAGGCAGATGCCTAATACATCTTTGAAGGGAGTGATCATCATGTAGCAGCCCATACATTTTTAAAAAAACCCAACCAACCTGGGATACTTTCAATTCTAGCCTATTGCTGTCATTTTATTTGCTTTATATGAAAGAGTGCGTGCAAGTAATATTTTGGGACATTTCAGAGACTTGCAGTCTTGATAATAAAACATATTGCAGTATGTGGTCATTGTATAAAGGGAAGGCCACCAGCTCCCAAGCCAGTAATGGCACCTTGAGAAGAATTGCATATCTATTTTCAGAGTTTGTAGAAGATGTGTGGTTTTGGAATTGGCTGAGTTATGCAGGCATTGTGCAGCTAGGCAGAACACGGAGAAAGTTGCTCATGCTGTCTACAGCATGAAGTTCTTTGCATACACGGCTTCTCTAGAGCTGTGCAAAAGTTCCCTATCAGTTTTTTTTGTCTTGCTTCATTGAAAGGTGAACCAGTGTGGAGGGAGGAGGGGAAGATTTGTTTTGGATTAAAGGAAAAAATCTTTCTTACCCACCCCCCAGAAATAGGTTTTTAGGCTTTTGGGGGGAACTGCCTGGGAGGGCTGGCTAGCAGTAAAACAGCAACTTGAAAAACTGAGCAAAATTGAGAAGACATCCACATAGGAAATAAGGGAGTGGGGAGGAATGCTGTTCCTTAGGATTTTTCAGAATTGTGAGCAGTGTGTATACATTTTGGCCTATTTCTTCTGTAACTGACAGCATCCCTCTGTGTGCAAGTAAATTGTTTTATCTGAGGGAATAATGAGAATTTTTGTTAATGTGTTTTCTTGTTGTGGTAGCAGCTATGTTACGTGTAGCAGGACAAGATTACTTTTACTGGGCCTTCAGCTTTTAATGGGAAAGAATAATAGAGAACTTTTTTCTAGCAAAGGATGTGCTATGTTGCCTTGTTACTTTCTGACCTACTTGCTGCTCAGTCTGTGTGGCTTCTTGAAATTATAGGATACACTTAGAGTGCTTCAGTAGTCTGATATCCACTCTACCTTTTAAATTGACCACAGAGTAGATTGTCATTTGATAACTTGACTATATGATTGATACTTCTGCTTGGAGAGAATGACAGCTGGCTGATGCAAAACAACTTAGAGATGGTACTTCTGGAAAGTTCAGAGGCACATTACTACTGTTGGTGCACATTAGCTATACCTGTTGTGCCAATGGAAAGACAAGTGTAGAAACTGGGTTTATCTTCTTTTTGGAGCAGAGAGGCAGTTACTGGCAAAGATGCTGATAGTTTTAATTGTGCAAGGCCTGCTTGAAAAGGTTAAAAGATGATGAGCTTTCTCAAAATGTATTTGTACTTAGAATGATCTGTTCCGTGGTCACTCTGGGGTGACATCTTCTGCAAACTAGCTATCACTTCACTGTGCAAAGTTCATAAATCCTCTAGTAAACCAAGCAATCCTCAGCTATGGAAGTGTTAGATACCTCGTGGAGTGTTAATTAGTTCCAGAACATGTTTTTTGCAAATACTGTTTTCATCTTGTTCTTAGTTGTGTCTTAACTTCTGGGTTATTGGCATCTTTGTCTTTCTCCATTTCTAATTCTTCACAGTGTTACATATTTTTTTTACAGGGAAAGGCAGTCATTTTCATAAAGATTATTGAATTTCTTTCAGCTCTCTGCTGTCCCAAAGTTGTTTGGGGAATGCAGGTGGCTAGGAAGGATAAGAGTTACGTGAATTGAAAAAAGAATTGTATTCTACTCAAACTTTTGTATGGTATAGTCAATAAGTAGTGTAGCTTATACATACTCATCAGGTAATCAATATAACCAAACCAGTGGAATAGCCATTAGTAATCCAGTACCTTCAATTGGTACGTAATATTAACAGATTTATAATTATTTCATATTTCGTAATCTTTATTCCTCTTGTCTTTGTGATAATTTTTTTATAGTTTTTTTAAATATTTGTTAATATTCAGCTTTCAGTGAGATGCATTAGTCTGTCTTTTTGCTTTCTAGACAAACTATGAAAACAGAATATACAGTCTGAAAGTAGAGTGTGGACCTAAATATCCAGAAGCACCTCCTACAGTTAGATTTGTAACTAAAATTAATATGAATGGAATAAATAATTCCAATGGAATGGTAAGTTGAAATGGTAAGATCAACCATGTTGCTAATCTGTGTTATAAATTTCTGTGAAAAACCCAGGTGAGGAATATGCTTGTTGGACAGAGCTTTCGTATTGAAATTTTACAGTATAAGTACTGGTATAGATAAAAAAAATGGGTTGCCTACTACTTCACATCTTTAGGTATTTACAGTATGTTAGTGGTTCTTAGTGGCTTATCAGCGAGACAAACATCATTTATAGTATTAAACCAGTTTCTTTTAGATGAAGCTTAAGATTTTAGTTCTGAACAGAAAAAAAAAAGTGTTGTGTGTAAGTATTTCCCTTGTAATACACTTATAAAGGGGGATTAGATTCATACTGTAATAGGAGTATTACAAACTTTATCTGATGTTTCTGTTAATTGAAAATGGAGGTTATTTCTGAAGAGTCTTGCTCAGGATGTAGTAATTTACCTGTAATGAACCAATGTATTTAAACTCTTATTTTTTTTATACCGGGTTTGTCCAAATCCAAGGTGATTCTGAGCTTCAGCATTAAAATCTTTTGATACAGATGATAATCACTTTTATTTTAAATATCAATTTGCACTAAGTTACTTTCATTGATTCCACACTTACAGTGTGATGAGCTCACATACATGAGCGATGGCAGCAGCTCAAGCAAGTCTGTTACCCCATTGTTCACTAGGTACTTTAATCAATAGACTCCTAGAATGGTTTGGGCTGGAAGCGACCTTTAAGCTTATCTAGTTCTATCCCCCCTGCCACGGGCAGGGACACCTTCTACTAGAGCAGGTTGCTCCAAGCCCCATCCAACCTGGTCTTGAACACTGCCAGGGATGGGGCAGCCACAGGTTTTCTGGGCAACCTGTTCCAATGTCTCACTACCCTCACAGTAAAGAAAGTCTTCCTAATTCTCCCCTCTTTCAGCTTAAAGCCATTCCCCCTAGTCCTATCCCTACATGCTCTTTCAAAAAGTACCTCTCCAGATTTATTGTCAGCCCCCTTTTAGGTACTGGAAGCTGCTCTAAGGTCTCCCCAGAGCCTTCTCTTCTCCAGGCTGAACAGCCCCAACTCTCAGCCTGTTCTCATAGGAGAGGTGCAAATCCTGTGAGTAAGTCTGAGGTACCAAATGGCTCAGTGAAGAGGCGTGAGCTGTCTTGCATTTACAGTGGCGTATG